AAATTTTTCTTTCGACTATCCGGGGCTTTTTGGGGGCCTTAACATTGTCAAAAACTCTTGAAAATTGGCACACACATTGGAATCTGCGGTCATTAGGACGCCGCAGAGGCTGGGACAGGGAGGCTTGCGTGGCACAGGGACTCGACAGCGCCCCCTGGAACACAGTCTGAAAACATGATGTATAGCTCACACATGCTTTCACATATTCATATGAAACTTGGTACACATATAGATCTCATTGATCCGAACAACTTTCACGCTGCATGTCATAGGCTCCACCCAACAGGAAGTTGGCTATTCAGGGCTGTGTAAAAAGCGCATGCTCTGGAATTTGATATACTCCTCTGAGGATTTCAAATAGATTGTCACCAAACTCGGTGAACATGATCTCAAGACATTGGGGATGTTAAATTGCCAAGAGATTTTTGATATCTCGAATGGTTTGTCCGTGGCGAGGTGGTGAATTTATGGCGAGAAATGAGAAACAGGAAGTGTCTAATAGCATCCACATACATTGTCTGATTTTGATCAAACTGCAGGAATTTGTTTTTTTGTATGATGCCGATCGCATTGATGTGACTATTAGGAGTCAAAGATATAGCGCCACCAACTGGCGGCAGGAAGTGTGTAATTTTCAAAATGCTTTACACCTATTGTTATTTTCAAATAACAATAGGTGGCGCCAAATACGCATAAAACGAGTGTGCCATGAAATACGTAATGTAATGCCTGTTGTAAAGATCGCGAGTAAAACAAAAGAAAAAGAAAACCTTACAGCTGCATGAGTCGTGACTGTCACGTTAGCCTGATGGGACCAAACTCCCTTTGTGATTTTAAAACGTAAGACAGTACTCAGATTTTAAGACTACAGTAAGATCTTCTACTGTTAATAAGATTTTGGTAGGCTACTATTAGATAGATAGCCTAAATGTCCTAATTCAGATTAGCTACCTTTTTTTTTTAATGGTATATCAAAAAGTGTATATTTTTTAAATGTGATTGTTGGTACATTTTACCAGTTTTTACCATACTTTCAAAACAAAAATTAAAATAGGAAAAATATGCAATATGAAAATAGTTGAAGACAAAATGTGTTTTACTGAGAAAAAACAAGATTTGGTTTTTAAAATGCCTTTTTTCAAAAGGTACATCTGGAAAAAGGGGGGTCGTTTTATGATTAGGGTCGTCTTATATCCGGGCCAATACGGTAATTTGAAGCACGCTAGTGGTGAACAGCAAGACCAGACACTAAGGTGGTGATGGGTAAGTGGCTTTAAACTGTGATTGATGAGTGCAGACAGGTCAAACTAATCAGAATTCTGGGGATTGTGAATGAGTGGGTGGAGCTGAAGGATCTGGCCTTGCTGGTGACTCTGTGACAGTACCCTGGAAATTAACTAGGGATGCACCGAATGTTCGGCAACCGAATAAGCGAAAAGACCGAATAAATTGTACCGAACAATGATATGACATAGCAACCAGCGTAGAGTGAGAGGTGCGCACTCTTTATTATGCAGCACACACATCAGCAGTGTGGAAGCATTTAAACTGTCGGAGAAAGACGCAAAAATCATTACAAGCACCGACAGCGAGAGACTGTTTAGTACTGCATCGCATGTCTTCAATGAGAAGAGGAAGGGGTGATTGTTGCTGATTTACTGTATGATGATTGAAATCGCCAAATGGCCTTAAACAGTTAAGTTAGTAAATAAACTGTAAAATGTCATGTTTTCTAATACACGCGCGCATTGCATTCTGACAGCGCTGCACGAACTTGCAGCGGATCTGCTTGTTAACCAGGGTTCAAAGTCCAAAGCACGAGGAAAATCTGCGCTAAAACAGTGTTACTCGGCAGTTGCTCAGTCATATTTTTATGAATTTGTACAAGGCACGTGACAATGCGATACTTACGACGTATTTGTAATGAGACTCATTTATAAATCTGCTGTTGTCTTCCTGCGCGTTTCCGCCAAAATAAAAGTTGAGAAAAAGCAAGAACTCTTATCAACATTCAGAAATGTTAGTATTGTAATTTTACTGTTGTTCTGTAAAATAAAATAAAAAGTAAGACAATAATAATGATAATAATTACAACAGCTCTGTTAATACCTTTATGACATTCACACATAGTGTTCAAATTAGGATCTGTAATATTTTCTAATGTTTTAAAATGAGTCTCTTCTCAGCAAGGCTGCTTTTAATTGTACAGTAAAAAATATTTTTAAATAGTTGTTTTGTAATTGATTTTTTTTCTTTGAAAAGCAAGAAAAAACTGTAAAAAGCACATTTTGGCTTTTTAATTTATGCAATGGTGAAAAAAAATTTGGCAAAATACATGGGGAAAAAACTCAAAAAACTGTGTTCGGTGTTCGGCCCAGTGTTTCATTTTGTTCGGTTTCGGCTTCAGCCAAGAATTTTCATTTTGGTGCATCCCTAAATTGAACTGTGGCCCACAGTCTGACACAATGTCTTCGGGTAGTCCAAAGTTTCGGAAAACATGTTCAAAGAGTTGTTCAGAATGCAGGTATGGGAATTGGATGGAGGGAGATCAGTCACAAAGTCCACACCGAAGTGGGACCAGGACCAATGAAGGACAGGCAGTGGAACTAGTTTTCTTTGTGCAAGGTTTGTGTGAGTCTTGGAGATGGCACAGACTGAGCATCTCTTGACATATTGGGAGACTTCCCATGCCATGTTGGGCCACCAGTAGTGGTTTTGGAGGAGCAAGAGGGTTTGCTGGCTGCCTGGGTGTCCGGAGATGAATGAACAGAAGGGATAGCCATAGGGATGTTGGTAAATAAACCTTCCCTTCTGGACCTCTCAGCGGAGCAGGTTCAGAGCGAGTGGCTTTCGAGTTCTGATCATCGAGGGACCACTGGATGGGATTCACAATGATGGCTGGATGGAGTATGGGTTCTAGTGGAGAGTTATGGTCTGTGATGGAGACAGGAGAGTGTGTCGGCTTTTTGGTTCGTAGATCCAGGCCGGTAAGTGACTGTAAAGTTCAATCGGGTGAAGAACAATGCCCAGCGGGTTTGTCGGGGATTGAGACTTTTAGCATTGTGAAGATATTCCAGATTATGATGATCAGTAGGTACGTTTACATGGACACTTTTTACTTCCATCGGAATGAATTCATTCTGATTGGCGAATCCGAACGTAGTGTTTACATGAACGCTAAATAAAGTGATCGGGTTGATATGTGCATTTATATGTCACAAGCTTCTGATTGGATTTAATCTTTTGACAACGCGAACACAGCATGAATATACAGTTTCCCGCTGTTGTTGCATACTGTTTTAAAAAGCACACGTGATATTTATCTACTTTGGCTCCTAATTAGGCGACGACCAGCACATGAACTGTTGTGCAGTGCTGCTTACTTTATAAAGCAGTAAAAGTGCCCCTTCCTGCACCCAAAACCAGTCATCTATTGATGAGAGTCTTAACCTGTTAACCCGCACCTGGATGCCGGCGCACTGAACGCTCTTTGTTTGCACGTGTCAATGTTTACGAATAGATTAAATTAAAAGGGACATAATTAATCTTGACAAACTATATGTCCTTCTAAAGGTCTAATATGAAGGTATTTTTGGTGCAAAACAACTGAATGTCTATGACAGCGGAATTTGTAGTTGTAGAGAATAGCCACACGTGTAAATAATGTGTAAATTTGAAGTCACAGACAAAAGTTGCAAACTTGTAAAAAAAAATTCTCTCCCACAAACACAACAAAACACTTACTCCTTCTTGAATCCTTCACTGCAGGTGCACAAATCCTATTCTACGAATCACAAATCAAGAAACTCGTACGCTCACGTTTTGCTCTACTTTTTGCGGAGTGTATGGTGCAAAACACATTCACACACCTGCATCAAAAAATGTGAAGTCACGGACTAATTTTGTACATCCGCAAATCAGTTTGTGAATTCTTGCAATGAGATTTGCAGGCTTGTAGAATGTTTTCTTACATATATATTTTTTTCTTGGATGCTTTTTCTAGCACAAACACAAGTGCATAACTAAAATGACGTGAATCTGCTGCTACGAGTCTCAAACACTGTTTTTCGCTTGCAAATGACAAGTTTCACGCTCTCTCCCTTTTGCACCACATATCTGTGTGAAAAATGGTGCAAAAGTGATTTGTGCATCTGTAGAGGCAACGGCGGGCACTGTTCAGAGAGCAGAGAATTTCGGCCAATCAGAAGAGCTCATTTGGGCGCCTATCAGTTGGCACCCGAAACATGCCCCCAAGTTTTAGCCACAACCCCGAAAAATCACGAGCTTCGAGCATCTTGATAGCGACAAGTATCAAAAAAGGTATGCGTTTTTTTTTTCCTTCTTTTTTTTCTGAAATCATTTGTTTATAGCTTAAATATAGCTATGTTGGTACGTTAAATTACACTAATATAACGATTTATTCCTTGTATTCTGTTATGCTTTACGTTATAGAAAAATGACAGATCAGGGTGCATCTTCGCAAGTGAATAAAACCAAGGGTACCATGTTTTTTTGTTTGTTTGTTTTTTTTCTTTGGTGAATAGTCATTTTTATTGGGATACTATACTAAACTAAAGGTAATTTACAGCAGGCAATCTATAGTAGGTAATTTGCCTAGTAATTATTACTCTCACACAGTATTGGGTAGGATTACTAATTACTTTCCCAGAGTGGATAAATCTAAAAACGCCGCAATTGCATTTTCGTGTGGACAGCGAATCCATATATTTTCTGAAACAATGGCGTCATCAGCCCACGTCTCGCCCCTAGTCAGACACCGCTACGTCACGTAACAGCAACAAAAACATGAACAAACACTGAACGGTTGTCTTTTTATTAACTAACATTAACACAGATTAATAAATGTATTGTTCCATGTTCATTTGTATACCGCGCACAAGGTTTATGCGCATAGTCCAAGTCGTCTTCTCTGTTTTTAGTGTATCTCTGTGGCAGAATTACAGCGCCGCATGTATGCTACATCGTTTTGAGTCGGTTTTGTGGTTTCGTGTGGACGCAGATATTTCTTGAGACAAGGGGAAAAAGATTGGATAGGGAAAGCTCTGGCTTTGTGTGGACGTAGCCTAAGACAGTTATCTCAGTTTTCAATCCTTTGAGAATCCTTGTTTTGTGATTTGGCTCTTTATATTTTCAGTGTCCCAAGAGCAGCTGAAACAGATTGTTAAATTTTGGGTTGGATGGAAGATACCCATGGATAGCATGAAAGTGGAGGTGGTTCGAGCAGAATATCCCACTTCATCCACATGCTTCCGCACCCTTCGCTTACCTGGTTACTACAACAGTTTCAGAGAATTTAGTGTTCATTTAGACAACTAGTTCATTGCCACAAATGACAGTGGATTTGGATTGTTGTAGAAAGTGGAAAGCTCTGAATTCAAAGGTTATTTCATTAAATTTGGTTTTCTATTGAATTGTAACTTAATAATTAAAAGATTCTAAACATTGTTGAATATCTAAGCATTAATCAGTTATTCATTGTTCCCAGATGTTGAAATGTTGGCTTTTATTGAAATGATTTAGAGTTGTACTTGACATTTGAACTAATGTATTTACAATAAACTTGATTAAAAACAAACATGAAGTTGTGTTTGTGATTGCATGGATAATTAGAGTTCATACTGATAACTCTACACATAGCCAATGCTGTGCATATAGTCCACTGCAGCTAAATCTCTATCTACTCCCATGCATGGTGAGTGTCCCATTGGGTCCACAGCAGCACCAAGTCCAGCCAGGTCTTCAGGTCTCAAAGGGCACTCAGTCTCAGGGACATGGACTCCACAGTTGGGATCACAGGGTATAAGACCGCTACTTTCCCAATCAATCAAAGGGATCTGCAAATCCTGTAAGATAATTAATCATTAATTTTCCTGCCACAAATGCATGCTTTTTCAAGTATAATTCACAAATATTTACCTCAACACTGTTTTCTTCGGAGTTGTGCTGTAGACCCATGTGCCACAGTTGATTAGGAGTGAGATTTTTGGGCTTGCAGGCGGTGTATAAAAACATGATGGCAGCAGAAGAGATGAACACTACTGGACAGGTCAAGTAGACCATCCCCCTTCAGCTGGTGCAGCACACTGTAGAAGTGGCATGTGACTGCTGTAAACACATCTCGCCAGAGACGTTCTATTCTGTTAAAAGCAAGCAAATTTCAGCATTTAGAATACTCCTGTCCAGAAAAAAGTTATTCATATAATGTCAAACCAAAATGTATTCGGACACCTTCAACATTTCTCACATTATCACAGTTTATTCGCTATAGTTTAGAAAATGGTAATAAAATATGGCAAGAACTCGAGTTAAACTGTCAGAACAAATTCATCTTGATTTGTCAGATAACTTTGATAGAAAGGTATGTAATGAATTTGGTTGAATAGCTGTCAGCTGTTAAATTTAAGTACACAATTAGATAATACCAATTTAGCTCAACCAATTACCATCAATGCATTTTCATTCCTGCATACATTTCATTCATTCATTTTGTTCAGTCTGTGGTGTAAAACGGTTGCATTATCAATTAAAGACAAACACTTAAACAAAATATGGTCAGGTCAAAGTGTCAAAATCAAATTGTTGGTCTCAAATCAATTTTCCTGGTAGTCCACTTTATCCAGAATTTTTTGGTATAATATGTAACAGTTTAATTTATTTTGCTATCCTCACTTACATAAATGATCTATAGTGTCCTGCACTTTATGGAAAAAATATCAAAAATTATATCTGGTGATATATAATTTTTGGTTTGACTGTATATTTTGCAATATAATAGTATTGTTTTTATCAATAAGGGCAAACATAGTACTTGTGTTAGGTAAGTAAGGGAAAGAGGTTGTTAATCCTGACTTTTGTTTTGATAGGTTTAACAAAACAAAAAACTGGTGTGGATCATTCAGATAACAGTATTAAAAATGTATCATATGTAAACTTTTGACCTGTTTAATTTTTGTATCAGTATCAATACAAAACAAAAGAAACAAAACAAAAAAACAACCACCTGGAATCTATCTATCCATCCATCCATCCATCCATCTACACACACACACACACTACTGGTCAAAAGAAATCACAGAAGTAATTGATATTTTAAAATATATAAAAATATAAATCTATTATTTGTAATTGTATCATCTCACAATATTAAATTTCTTTCTGTATCTTTAATCAAATAAATGCAGGCTTATATATATACAGGCAGGGTTTAAATTGGGCCGGGGCCGTCCGGGGCTGAGCCCTGGCACATAGACTGCATATTATGCTGAGGCGAGGCTCACGCAGCCTCTCCAGGAGAAATCAAAACGCGCAACACTAAGAAACTCAGCATCATGAGGTAAAAATTCAAAATCGAAAGTTTTTATATTTAAAATGCAGTTAGTTAGGCAACATCAAACAACGTTTTCACCATTACGACTGTTTAATAGTTCTATAAACAGTTCAATAAGCAAATACAATAATATTAGGTTACTTACATTTTAGGCGGAAACACAGCACATCTCACAGCAAATATTTTAAAATATATAAAAATATAAATCTATTATTTGTAATTGTATCATCTCACAATATTAAATTTCTTTCTGTATCTTTAATCAAATAAATGCAGGCTTATATATATACAGGCAGGGTTTAAATTGGGCCGGGGCCGTCCGGGGCTGAGCCCTGGCACATAGACTGCATATTATGCTGAGGCGAGGCTCACGCAGCCTCTCCAGGAGAAATCAAAACGCGCAACACTAAGAAACTCAGCATCATGAGGTAAAAATTCAAAATCGAAAGTTTTTATATTTAAAATGCAGTTAGTTAGGCAACATCAAACAACGTTTTCACCATTACGACTGTTTAATAGTTCTATAAACAGTTCAATAAGCAAATACAATAATATTAGGTTACTTACATTTTAGGCGGAAACACAGCACATCTCACAGCAACCAGACGATTCATTGCTGATTGATTCCGTGTTTTGAACGAATCGGTTGAATCAAAGTTTCATTAGCCCACGCATAAACATCTGATGAATCTGCCGTTTGAACAAATCATTTGAATGAACGACTCAATGACTCACTCATTAAACACTACTGGTACTGGCGTTTTAATTTCGTTAAAAAGTATAATTTCCACCTTAATTTTTTGTTTGTATATTAAAAAATATTTAAAAGAATCTCATAATATTATTTAATGCAGTAGTATTTTTCAGTGATTTAATTTGATAACGTATAGATAATCACATTATTATAATTGAATTTATAGATCAAATGTAAGAATTTGAAACGAAAGTATTAATGAGATTAGTGGGAAAATGCCCTCTATAAACGTAAAAAAATGTCCTTGGATAAAATATTGAATATATAAATATTGAATAAAATTAGAATAAAAAAACATACAAACACACACACACTCACTCACACACAGACATTTATATATATATATATATATATACGGGAAAAAATTAACTTAAATGATTTGAGCAAATGGCTGCAATATAACAAAGAGTGAAAAATTTAAGGGGGTCTGAATACTTTCCGTACCCACTGTATATATAAGCTCGATACCATAGAGCCCCCCCACATAACAAATCCCAATTTAACCCCTGTATATAGGCTATATATAATGTCCCGACAAAGATGCCAATATCTGAAATTTGTGTCATTGTTGGGACATTTTTTGGCCCCCCATGTCGAAACAGCTTCATTGAAGAAGGCAAGGGAAGTGGAGGCCTTGTTGTTATTGGCAACACCAAGATACATTATCTACAGGAATAATACCGCCCAGGTGAAAAATAGTGCACTTCCATAATGTACTTGAAGTGCTCTATTTTCACACACTTAATATAGAAAAATTAATCTTTAGTACTTAAGATAATTTTAAGAACATCTAAGTGTACTCAACTTGATTGGTTCAAGTGTATTACAAGTGGTAACTAAATACATTTCTTAATACAGAGTACGTTAAAAGCACATTTAGTTCATATTCATGGTGTCTCAAAATAGCAGTTAAGTACACTTACATGTTCATAAGATTACCTTAAGTACTAAAGAATAATTTTAGTATATTAAGTAAAAGTAGTGCTTGAAAATAGAGCACTTTAAGTTCATTATGGAAGTTCACTTTTTTTCACCTGAGAGAACAACATCATACACGAAAACAAACATTTAAATTTTCTAAGTTTAATTTAGGTATGATAACCTTCATTACTTTGAGCTATAACGGCATTCCTTAGTAATAACCAAGGTTTGATACTAAAATACTGATTTTCAGCATTAACAAATAACTACTCTTTAAGTAATTGTTGTGCTACTGTTAAAATATATACTGTCAAATAAAATGCCTTTATCAAATGATTATCCCTACCTTCCTGGAGAATCCATCAATTCCGCCGATTACCATATTGAACCTTAAATAAGGGAAAAATGTGTATCATTTATCACCAATTTCACATTGTGAACAAGCCCATGCAACAGATTTGTTTGTCAAACACGATCAACCTAATAAGTTTGTGGTTTGTGTCAATATGCATCAGTGATCTGGGGCCTGGGACAGAGTATGTCCTGCGTACCACACACTCTGACATTCTTGATACAATTCCTGCAGTGTCGACTCTGTGCATTGATGCACGAACCCTCTGCCACTGCGCTCGATGTCCCTGTGCCCACAAGCAGTCCCAACATCATTCGGTACCCAGCATGTGGGTTGCTGGTGTGAATGTCTGACACCAGGGCATCAAGTTCATCATCAATCAAGTCACTGTACAGATCTCTCACCGAGAATGCCCAATCATTCATACGTCTCTGCAGAGTCCACCTAGAAATCCCTACAACATTTGCAATGCACTTCACAGCCAGGCCCATATTAAGAAGTTCATACACATATTCCTTGGATACTACAACTGTGGGGCGCCCACTATTTCCCCTCTCCAGGGAAACTGTTATATAGGTGCATCTCAATAAATTAGAATGTCGTGGAAAAGTTAATTTATTTCAGTAATTCAACTCAAATTGTGAAACTCGTGTATTAAATAAATTCTATGCACACAGACTGAAGTAGTTTAAGTCTTTGGTTCTTTTAATTGTGATAATTTTGGCTCACATTTAACAAAAACCCACCAATTCACTATCTCAACCAATTAGAATACTTCATAAGACCAATAAAAAAAACATTTTTAGTGAATTGTTGGCCTTCTGGAAAGTATGTTCATTTACTGTACATGTACTCAATACTTGGTTGGGCCTCCTTTTGCATGAATTACTGCATCAGTGCGGCTTGGCATGGAGACAATCAGCCTGTGGCACTGCTGAGGTGGTATGGAAGCCCAGGTTTCTTTGACAGTGGCCTTCAGCTCATCTGCATTGAATACATGTACGGTAAATTAACATACTTTCCAGAAGGCCAACAATTCACTAAAAATGTTTTTTTTATTGGTCTTATGAAGTATTCTAATTTGTTGAGATAGTGAATTGGTGGGTTTTTGTGAAATGTGAGCCAAAACCATCACAATTAAAAGAACCAAAGACTGAAACTACTTCAGTCTGTGCTCATTGAATTTATTTAATACACGAGTTTCACAATTTGAGTTGAATTACTGAAATAAATGAACTTTTCCATGACATTCTAATTTATTGAGATGCACCTGTACATGTTTCCTTGCCATTTTGCCCAGAG